TTTGTGATACAATTTCGTTTCTATGATAATCTACTTCGCAAAAATTGGGTAATATTTCCCCAAAATTCGAAAATCACTTCCCCGAAAAGGTCGATATCTACTTTCCCGAAAAGCAGAAAATCTATCTGCTTTTCGGGAATGTAGATAACCAATTTCCCGGAAAGTAGATATTTCCCATTTTTATGATACAAATTTCCCGTTTTTATGATAATCTCTTCGCAAAGGTGGTATTTTAAAAGTCGATAATCTACTTTCCCGAAAAGTAGAAAATCTATCTACTTTTCGGGAAAGTAGATAACCAACTTTCCCGGAAAGTAGATATTTCCCATTTTTTATGATACAAATTTCCCGTTTTCTATGATAATCTACTTCGCAAAATTAGGTAATATTTCAAAAATTCGAAAAAATCTACTTTCCCGAAAAGTCGATAATCTACTTTCCTGGAGAAGTAGAAATTGCTCAACTTTTCGAAAGTAGATAACCAACTTTCCCGGAAAGTAGATATTTCCCATTTTTTATGATACAAATTTCCGTTTTCTATGATAATCTACTTCGCAAAATTAGGTAATATTTCCCCCAAAATTCGAAAATCTACTTCCCCGAAAAGTCGATAATCTACTTTCCCAAAAAGTAGAAAATCTATCTACTTTTCGGGAAAGTAGATAACCAACTTTCCCGGAAAGTAGATATTTCCCATTTTGTATGATACAAATTTCCCGTTTTCTATGATTATCTACTTCGCAAAATTATGTAATATTTCCCCCCAAATTCGAAAATCTACTTCCCCGAAAAGTCGATAATCTACTTTCCCGAAAAGTAGAAAATGTATCTACTTTTCGGGAAAGTAGATAACCAACTTTCCTGGAAAGTAGATATTTCCCATTTTTTATGATACAAATTTCCCGTTTTCTATGATAATCTACTTCGCAAAATTACGTAATATTTTCCCCCAAATTCGAAAATCTACTTCCCCGAAAAGTCGATAATCTACTTTCCCGAAAAGTAGAAAATCTATCTACTTTTCGGGAAAGTAGATAACCAACTTTCCCGGAAAGTAGATATTTCCCATTTTTTATGATACAAATTTCCCGTTTTCTATGATAATCTACTTCGCAAAATTACGTAATATTTCCCCCAAAATTCGAAAATCTACTTCCCCGAAAAGTCCATAATCTACTTTCCCGAAAAGTAGAAAATCTATCTACTTTTCGGGAAAGTAGATAACCAACTTTCCCGGAAAGTAGATATTTCCCATTTTTTATGATACAAATTTCCCGTTTTCTATGATAATCTACTTCGCAAAATTAGGTAATATTTCCCCAAAATTCGAAAATCTACTTCCCCGAAAAGTCGATAATCTACTTTCCCAAAAAGTAGAAAATCTATCTACTTTTCGGGAAAGTAGATAACCAACTTTCCCGGAAAGTAGATATTTCCCATTTTTTATGATACAAATTTCCCGTTTTCTATGATTATCTACTTCGTAAAATTAGGTAATATTTCCCCCCAAATTCGAAAATCTACTTCCCCGAAAAGTCCATAACCTACTTTCCCGAAAAGTAGAAAAGTTATCTACTTTTCGAGAAAGTAGATAACCAACTTTCCCGGAAAGTAGATATTTCCCATTTTTTATGATACAAATTTCCCGTTTTCTATGATTATCTACTTCGTAAAATTAGGTAATATTTCCTCCAAAATTCGAAAATCTACTTCCCCAAAAAGTCGATAATCTACTTTCCCGAAAAGTAGAAAATCTAAGCCTGATTTTTCGGGAAAAGTAGACACCAACTTTCCCGGAAAGTAGATATTTCCATTTTTTATGATACAAATTTCCCGTTTTCTATGATAATCACTTCCAAAATTAGGTAATATTTCCCCAAAATTAGAAATCTACTTCCGAAGTGAAAATCTATCTACTTTTCAAGGAGATATAGATATTTCGTTTCGAAGTAGATATTTCCGATTTTTTATGATAAATTTCCCGTTTTCTATGATAATCTACTTCGCAAAATTAAGTGAATATTTCCCAAATTCGAATCTACTTCCCCGAGTCGATAATCTACCGAAAAGTAGAAAATCTATCTACTTTTCGGGAAGAGTAAATAACTTTCGGAAAGTAGATATTTCCCATTTTTATGATACAAATTTCCCGTTTTCTGGATAATCTATTTCGTAAAATTAGGTAATATTTCCCAAAATTCAAAATCTAATTCCCCGAAAAGTCGATAATCTACTTTCGAAAAGTAGAAAAGCTATCTACTTTTGGAAAGTAGATAACCAACTTTCGAATAGTAGATATTTCCCCATTTTTTGATACAAATTTCCGTTTTCTATGATAATCTAGCTTCCTTAAAATTAGGTAATATTTCCCCCAAAATTCAATCTACTTCCCCGAAAAGTCGATAATCTACTTTCGAAAAGTGAAAAATCTGTACTGGAAAGTAGACTTTCCCGGAAAGTAGATATTTCCCAGTTTTATGATACAAATTTCCCGTTTCTGTGATAATCTACTTCGCAAAATTAGGTAATATTTCCCCCAAAATTCAATCTACTTCTGAAAAAGTCGATAATCTACTTTCCCGAAAAGTAGAAAATCTATCTACTTTCGGGAACGTAAATAACCAACTTTCGGAAAGTAGATATTTCATTTTTTATGATACAAATTTCCCGTTTTCTATGATAATCTACTTCGCAAAATTCGTAATATTTCCCCAAATTCAGAAATCTACTTCCCCGAAAAGTCGATAATCTTCTTTCCCGAAAAGTTGAAAAAGCTATACTTTTCGGGAAGTGATAACTCTTTCAGTAGATATTTCCATTTTTAAGATACAAATTCCCGTTTTCTATGATAATCTCAACTAAATTAGGTAATATTTCCAAAAATTCGAAAATCTACTTCCCAGTCGATAATCTACTTTCGAAAGAAAAATCTATCTACTTTTCAAAATAGTTAACAACTTTCAGAAAGTAGATATTTCCCGTTTTTATGATACAAATTTCCGTTTTCTATGATAATCTACTTCGCAAAATTAGGTAATATTTCCCAAAATTCAATTCTACTTCGAAAAGTCGATAATCTACTTTCGAAAAGTGAAAATCTATCTACTTTTCGAAAAATGAATAACCAACTTTGATAGATATTTCCCATTTTTATGATACAAATTTCCCGTTTTCTATGATAATCTACTTCGCAAATTAGGTAATATTTCCCCCAAAATTCAATCTACTTCCCGAAAGTCGATAATCTACTTTCGAAAAGTAAAAAATCTATCTACTTTTCGGGAAAAGTAAACTCAACTTTCCGGAGAAAGTAATATTTCCCATTTTTATAATACAAATTTCCCGTTTTCTATGATAATCTACTTCATAAAATTAGGTAATATTTCCCCCAAATTCGAAAAATCTACTTCGAAGTCGATACTTTCGAAAAAGTAGAAAATCTATCTACATTTCGGGAAAGAAGATAACCAACTCTTTTTTTTTTATAAAATATAAAAAAAAAAATTTTATATATATATATAAAATATTTTTTTTATATAAATTTTTTTAATAAATTTTTTTTTTATATATATATATTTTTTTATAAAAAATTTTTTTATATAGTTATATATATATATTTTAAATTATTTTTTTTAATATAAATTTTTTTATATAATTTTATTTTAATATAAAAAATTTATATAAATTTTTTATATAAAAATATATTTTTTATATAATTTTTTTTTATATATAAAATATTTTTTATATAAATTTTTTTTATATCGGCTATATATAAAAATTTCATATAAAAATTGATATATAAAAAATTATATATAAAGTTATAAAAAAAATTTATATAATAAAAATTTATACAAAAACAAAATTTATATAAAAAATTTTATATAAAAAATTTATATAAAAAACCTATATAAAAAAAATTTATATAAAAAAATTATATAAAAAAATATATTTATATAAAAAAAAAATTTATATAAAAAAAATTTTATATAAAATTTTATTTATAAAAAAAATAATTTTATATAAAAAAATTTTATAGAAAAAAAAATTATATAAAAAAGTATAAAAAAAATTATATAAAAAAATTTATAAAAATAATATAAAAAAAATTTTATATAAAAAATTTATATATAAAAATATTTTTTATATATAAAAAAAAATTTATATAAAAAATAAATTTTATATAAAAAAAATTTTATATATATAAAAAAAAATTTTATATAAAAAAATTTGTATAAAAAAATATTTTATATAAAAAAACAAAACCAAATATATAAAAAAAATTTATATAAAAAAAAAAAAATAAATTTATATAAAAAAAATTTATCCAAAAAAAATTTATATAAAAAAATTTTTATATAAAAAAAATTTATAAAAATTTTTATATAAAAAAAATTTAATATAAAAGAAAATTTATATAAAATTTTATATATAAAAAATTATATAAAAAAAAAAATTTTATATAAAAAAAATATTTTTTATAAAAAAATAAAAAAAAAAAAAATTATATAAAATAAACTTTTTATATATATATATATATATATATATATATATATATATATATATATATATATATATATATATATATATATATATATATATATATTTTTTTTTTTTATAAAATTTATAAAAAAATTATATAAAAAACATTTAAAAAAAAAAAATATTGTATATAGAAGCTGGCACATGAAAATCTGAGATCAGGTGAAAATTAGGCACCCCAGTTTATATCCCTGGTGAGTGAACATCCTCACCACCGGGAGGGGTTATGTTAGGTTAAGTTATGTTTAGGTGAAAAAGTTGGAGTGCCTAATCTTCATGTGATAAAAATTCTGCTGAAATTTCAGATACCTCTGAGTTTCAAGTACGTACTGTATTACTTCCAACTTATAAATTCTCATCTTTTTCACCTCTACATTATTTTGAGTACAGTTTTTGATAAAGTAGTTAAAATGACTGATACAGTATTCTTAAGGCAATTAAAATACAATGAAACCACAATGTATGCAAAAAATTTATAAAACAAAATTAATATATTTCAAGTATAAAATTAGATACTATAATAGGTGCAAACATGGAGCATTTTAAGGGACAATTCAAAGGCTTTCTGGCATCAACTATAACACAGAAGTCAGAGTTAACACCATATAGATTAAGAATAAAACAGAGTAATTAAAAATATTCTAGGAATTAATTACACTATCTTCTTCTTGAAGACTTTGAGGGAGAACGTTTTTGAGAGATCTATTGGCAGGATTCCTCCCAAATGGACAGAGTGTCACATTGAGACACTGGCTGCACTTAGGACCTACAGGTAAACATGTCTGTTGGCCAAACCCTACCAACAGTAAGTTGGTGTCACTCCAGATATCTTCAGGCATCCAGGATTCCAAAGCAACCCGGGTCTCCTCTGGTGTTTTGGTGGCACGACCAGACCAGCCCAATCGGTTGCTGATGCGATGTAGTGTGTGTCTACACCTATAGCATAGAGGAATATACAAGTCAATAAAACAAATCAATGATCCCTGTAAGGAAGTACTGTTTAAGTAATGTTTTGCAGAAACTTCCGCAATGAAGGAGAAGTTATGTACAGGGCACAATCTATGCGACTGACAGACATAACAGTAATACATTACTCAAATATTAAAGAGGGAAATAGGGTTATAATTTTGAGAGGAAAAAAGACAATGTCAGTCATACTCAAGGTCATCAGTATTGTTAATTTTCATCTACAATAATATCTCCATTAGCCGGAACTCACCAATACCCAGAATTGAAATTTGCTCGGAATTTTTCCGGAATTTTTCTCTCAATTCTGGGTTTGGGAACGATTTTCCGAGGTTGATAATCAGGCAAAACATGACCCACTAAACCCTCACACCACCTCCATCGCAAGTGTTAAGATGTGATTACAGTTACGTATTACAGTCAGCTGAGTGAACAGTATCTGCCTACTCTTAGTTCAAGATGACAGCATCTAGTGATGAGTACAGTATACAGTCAGTCCTCGACTTCTGACGGGGTTAGGGACCGACGACCAGGTCGTAAGGCGAAAATAATACATAGAAAATCTAAATGGGTGTCTCTTTTTCTTCTCAGCACCAGGAGAACTCTCACTTCTACACTTGCCAGCCATTTTTAAGGAAATTAGAAACAAAAATTTTGTCAGTACACAGCGCGATCACTAACATCAGGACTCGAAAATACGTAATTTGAAAAATATATTATACCACTGCGGCGGTGGGTATGTCGAGGTGGTCGTAATTAGGAGTACCTGTACAGTATACAGTTTAGTAGTAGTACAGGTATACATTATTATGTTTACAGGATTAACAATATATTTTACATGTACAGTGGTGTTTGTGTAAATAAATATAGCTCCGTGCTGGGTAATTATCTGAATAATAACCGTCTGCTGTTTTTCATTGAAAATGGGTTTAAAAATACCCAGTTTTCACTATGGGATACTGTATTATGTTGGGAAAAATATAAAACGGCTGAAATCGTGAGCTAACCATTGGAAACATCGTGAGAATGTTTTCAGGATTATTATATCAAGTTCCTCTCTCTTAACACAATTAATAATAATAATAATTATAATAATTAACAGTTTATTGAAAGAGCATAGCAGCCAGAAGGCTGAAAATATACAGTTAGAACGCGATTGGTGGTTGTGCATCCCTTGCAGAGGGAGACAAACTGACCACAATCTCTTCAATACATATACACTATCATTATAGCAAGTGTCATCGGTTATAAACTTCTATTTTATGAGTATTTTATCACTCGAAAATCTGACTCTCACTCTCAGCTGAAAGACCATAAACAAACTCCTGTCTCCCGCGACTGAGAAGCTTCATACTTCATGCTTATGTCATCAAGAACCAATCACAGTAAGGGAAGTTTTCTCTTATTTGCCAACCCCAAGGCGGATACTATCTTGCTCAGGGCAGTAAATTTGGATGTCAGAGGCGCAAAATATAAACAGTAATGAGATTTAAAATAGTGATCGCCAGCCAGAAAAGCTCTCTAATATTTCAAATCACCCGCCAGAATTTTTTATCACCTATGGCGATTGGACTGACTATTTTGTGCTAGTCTAAGAGACCTATTAGAGAAAGGGCTTATATTTTTGTAACAAATTTTGTGAGCCTATTTTTCTAATGGGCCTGGGGCTACAGCCCTATTAGTAATCTGCTCCTGGTACCAAATTCATTTCTGTAACACAATTAGAGCAGATGTTTTGAATAAAAGTTAATACACTTTTTTGCTAGCAGTCTCGCACCTCAAAAATACCTTGGTTTTTGTATTTATTCAGGACAGCTTCAGGTCATGAGACTCACTAATCCCCCACCCAACAATAACCTGACATTGCATCCAAAGGTCAGTAACATGAGACCCACTATGCCTCCACAGCTCAGTGAGAGTGGAAAATACTGTACCAGTCTTTGCTGTAACACACAGCTTCATTCATGCAACATATCATATAGTTTTTTAAATATATTTATTTAACCAACTTTTAGATAAACTATTCGGGATTTTTCTAGAAAAGAAATGGAGTCTCTAACTTAATTAGAACTGCTTTTATAGGCTCCAGTAGTTTAGACCCTCAGAAAACTTTCCCCAGCACCCAGAAACATTCTGGGGATGTAGGCTAGTGTCTGTCTGTGCAAGATGTCTAGTTTAGAATCTTTTCCCAGTGACCAGAAAAAATTCCTGGGATAAAGGATTTTTCTGGGTTTGAGAAAGTTGTCTAGTTACCCGGAAATCTCTCAACCCCGAAAGTTCTCTGCATCAATTGTTCAGGCTAATGGAGACAGTCTGCCAAGTTACTTAATAAGATCTTACCAATTCCTGTTAATTTTCCCCATAATATCCATACAGAGGTGAGCCATCTTTGGCCCCACACCAGGAAGTTTACACAACAACTCGAGTGTCGGTGGTATGTCTCCGCCATAATCTCTCTTCAGTATTTCACAAGTTTTCCGGATATAAACAACTTTTTTCTGAAATAAATAGAAATGTATATACAGTAAAGTATGTATCTGTACCGGGGTGTACACCTACTTCTTGCAGTACTGCCCTTGGAATTTAAACCAGACAAAATGATGACCAACATCTCAAGTATGAATAGTGAATTAATATGAAATGTTGTGAATCAATGTTGAACCACGAGTTCAATTTTATTTAGAGTACAGTACTAGTATCCATACACATGTAATTTACGGATATGAGGATGTGTATGTGTGGAATATTTGGAATATTTCTACAGTTATCCTTCAATATATGAACGTTCGAGATACAAATGTGGGTCCTAACAAAGTTAAATTGCGCACCCTCAAGAGTTAATTCTCAACTTGGGGTATATAAACATAACTTTCCTCTTTTCTTTTCATTCAGGTATATGCACACACAATCCTATATACTGTACAGAATGTGCAAAATATAAAACAAATATTAATTATCATAAGGTAAAAAACAAAAAGAGAATAAACATTTCTTTGTCCACCAGCAAAAGTTAGCAGGTTGAGCTGGGGGGAGTTATGTTATGATTATTTGTCTACTTGTAGTTTTGGATAGATAAACTTAGCTTTCTTCAACAAGCACACACAATCCTACAGAGATAATGTCAAAAAATGTAAAAGTTATAACTATCATAAAGTCAATAACATAATGGGAATAACCATTTATTTGTGTGTGAGACTGGAAGGGTCAGCAGAGACAGCCTGGCTGCATTACTACTGTATAGTGACACTTGTGGGTTGCCACGTGTGAAGCAGTCGGCAACTATGCAAATAGCACTGCTGGCAGCTCTGTTAAATTTTGATTTAACTTTTCCTTAATAGTTTTAGTTGCATATTTTCATCTAGATAGTATTTAATTGGTGTTTTTAATGTGTAAGGTAGTAAATTACAGTATACAGTCTCTCCTCGACTTACAACATATTTGACTTACGACAACCCGGACATACGACGGCCATGGTCGTATAAAATATTTTCCACATTACGTATTTTCAAGTCCCGACGTTTGGTCGTAATGTGACGCCGTACGACAGCTTGGGCTGGGCCGCCTCATGGTGTACAGCATCCACGCAGTAGCCCGCTCAGTTGGTGTTTGGCCGTCGTTGTTGTTGTTAGTGATCGCGCTGTGTACTGATAAAATTTGTTTGTAATTCCCTTTAAAATGGCTGGTAAGCGTAAAAGTGAGAGTTCTCATGGTGCTGAGAAGAAAAAGAGACAGTCAATTACTTTTGAGATAAAAATTCAAATAATAATGCAATATTTAAATGGAAAAACGGTAGCAACCATTTCACGCGACTTTTAAAAATGTCAGCAAGCACACACTGCCAGTGTTTTATCGCAGAAATAAGAAAGGATGGATGACCCTAGCACTGTTTAAAGATTGGTTCCCGAGTTGTTTCATTCCACGAGCCAAGGAGTATTGTCTGCAACAAGGGGTTGCGTTCAAGATTTGATTACAGTAATTTTAGATAATGCTCCGGGACACCCACCACACCTGGACGACCTGCACTCTGATGTTAAGGTAGTCTACCTTCCACCTAACACTACCTCTATCATCCAACCCATGGATCAAGGTGCTATTTCTGCTTTTAAAGCGTATTATTTACGTATGACCTTCGCTCAGAAAGAACATAGCTGCAGCATGGGATGAGGTTACAGGTCAGTGCATGAATGGAATATGAAAGAAGGTCCTGAAAAGATATGTGAACAGTTTCAAACGATTTAATGAAGATGAAGCAATTTCTGTGATTAGTAACAAGATAGTACAGATGGGTAAACAGCTGGAGTTAGAAATTAATACAGTAATGATGTTGAGCAGTTGGTGGAAAGTGTAGCAGAAGAGCTAAGTAACGAGGATCTTATTAAACTGGATGCACAGAAAATTGCAGAGGAAGAAGAGAGACAAAATGTAAAAGAAGAACCTGTACCTCCCAAAAAAGTTTTCAGTGAAACAAATGGCAGAGGCATTTGCTACTATTAATAAGGGGATGCAAATGTTTGAAGAAATAGATCAAAATGTTGAGCGTTTTGCAAAAGTTGACAGACTGATCCAAGATGCACTTGCTTGCTACAGGGAGATTTACAATGAAAAGAAAAGGCAAACTGTGCAGTCTAAATTGGACATATTTTTTAAGAAGTCCCCCACTGCTGCCTCTTCACTCCCTAAAGATGATCCAATACCTTCAACAAGCAAGTTTCCCCTGTACATAAACCTGTCTGAAGAAAGTGAGCTTGATGACCCACCCAGCCCTGTCTCCTCCTCTGTTTCATCCAATTAATGTTGTCTCCATGCTTAATCAAAAAATTATCGAGACCCCATGTACATTCAGCTGACTACATTAAAGGTAAGTGCACAGTAACACTTTATTCATTTTTCATTATTGATTACTTTTACTGTACCATATTTCATTTTAGATTTTCTATGTAGTATTATTTTCACCATTTCGACCAATTCATCAGTCTGGAACCCTGTCGTAAGTCGAGGAGAGACTGTAGTTGTTTACTATTTATCATTAGTTAGGTAGAGCCTCTTCTTGTTTGTGAACCTAGTTTCATGTTTTTGTGGTATAATATTGAATATTTTATCACTGCTGCCACTTGTCTTACACCGCTCATCCATTTCAAATTTTTTAGGTTTCTGGAGCCCTTGAGAGAGTAAAGCATAAGTATAAAAAGAGACAATAAAGGACTGATACAAGCTATTATATTCCACTTCCATTTCTTTACACCCATAAATGATAGTATTTGGTCTTTCAGTATAAATCATGACTCTGAGACTAATTCACAATTCTTCAAATTAATTCACAGTTCATACTACAGTAAGTAAAAAACTCAACCATAAAATACTGACTAACCTTCCAGAAACCCACAGGATAGATAAGTTGACCAAGTGTGTGATCATCAGTCGCCAGAATGTTGTCAACGGTGAGTCCATGAGCACGCAACTTGGTCATGGCAGCGTGAGTCACCTGATCCTTGGTCTGGCTACTCAACATCAAAGAAATAAGCACCTGGAATCTGTACACCTGAAACAGCAAGAAAAACCTCAGCAAACAAGTCATCAGCTAATTCTACATTTTTTTAAATTGTCATCAGTAAAAAATATTATGACTACGAACAGATCTTATGAAACCAAGCAGTTGAAGCACCTAATATAAAAGAAATAAAATAAAATTCCATCTACCTGTACCACTAGGCATAAAATTCACATCACAAACATACATTTATCCAGCTACAATATCAGTCCTCTCCATGATACTGTATCGCATACTTGTCGATTCCATAAAATCTGTTAATACTGTAGTGGAGTTCCTCTCACATTGTGTGAAGATCGATCTCTCCAACAATAATAAATCACATTCACTATCCAGTATAAGGGGTTGTTAGGCTAAGGTTTAGTTACCTTAGGGACTCGAGGCCATATTAGAAAAAGTACTGTACTGTACTAAATTTACAATTAAGACCTATAATAAAAGTTTTTACTCCAAAAATATATATACGTACTGTAACAAACTTGTCTTCCAGAGAGCAATATATTGTCAGGTAAAAAAATGTATTACAAACCTGATTTTCTTACTGGTTTAAGAGACAGTCTCTGTATTCAAATACTGTACAAGTCCTCATTTAACGTCAGGGTTACGTTCCTGAAAACGAGACGTTACACGAAACAACGTTATACGAAACAACATTAAGCGGATCAAGTTTTCCAAAAAGAAATAGATAAAATATGGGAGTTACCTTCCCCAGCCTCCCTTTGCCCCATGAAATACATTACATATACAGAAAATCATTGCCATTTCTATAGAAAATAATGCATACATATACAACTATTAAGTTTGTATTGGTACTAACCGATGGGCAGAGGAAGTATAGCGAGTGTGTGGTGGGTAGTGAAGTGGGGGAGGAGGAGGGTGGTGAGTCACTGAGACTGCCTCCTCTTGCTCTGACTGCGGTTCCTCTGCTGCTGCTTGCTCCTCCTCCGTTGTTGTTTGCTCCTCCTCGGCTGCTGTGTGCTCCTCCTCGGCTGCTGTGTGCTCCTCCTCGGCTGCTGTGTGCTCCTCCTCGGCTGCTGTGTGCTCTTCCTCAGCTGCCGGCTGATGTGAAGAAGCTGCTTCTGCCGTCCTGCGACGAAAAAATGAATCCAGTGTTGACTGCTTGGTGCAACTCTTCTTTTCCTTATAGATCTCAGTGTAACAACCAAGACTGTCATCAATGCTGTGTTGAACCTATGAGCTATGTTCTCTGTTTGGGTCATCATCTATAAGGATTTGCATTCCTTGCTGGAACATGTTGAACGATTCTGCCATCCTCTTTGAAATTAGCGTTTGTTGAGGTTCTTCTACGTCATCGTCGTAGTCTTCAACAGGACTGTGTTCCGTTAGTTTTTGCAGATCTTCGTTGGTGAGCTCTTCTGTATGGGATGCCAGGACATCCTCAATATCCTCTGATTCCAGCTCATGAATCCCGTAAAACTGTTGACGTACTCGGGCCACGGTTTATGCCACACACCATTCAGGCAACTTTCTGAAACCTCTTCCCATGCCTTGCCAATGTTGTCAATTGCATGAAGAATGTTGAAGCCGCGCCAATATTCTCGGATCGTTGGTTTATTTTCTCCGTCTGTAGCCTTGAGCAGCTAGGCCATGGTATGGAGTAAATAATACGCCTTGAATGCGGGGATGACGCCTTGGTCCATAGACTGCATCAGTACTGTAGTGTTGGGAGGCAGGAATACAACTTTTACACTGTCATGCAAGTCGTCAAGATTGGGAGGATGAGCTGGAGCATTGTCAAGGATCAGAAGAATTTTGAAGTCAAGGTTCTCCTTGGCAGAGTATTCCTTCATTGCAGGGACGGCGCACACATTTAACCACTGGCTAAATATGGTGCCGGTTATCCATGCCTTCTTATTTACCTTGTAGATCACAGGAAGTTGATCCTTAGGAGTAACCTTTCAGGGCCCATGGGTTGGCAGCGTGAGAAATCAGCATAGGCTTCAGCTTGAAGTCACCGGCAGCATTCACGCCAAGCAGCAGCGTCAAGCGGTCTTTTGCCGCTTTAAAACCTGGCGCTCTTTTCTTCTCCTTGGAGATATAGTTCCTCTCAGGCATCCTCTTCCAAAAGAGACCCATCTCATCCACATTGAAGACTTGCTTCGATGAGTAGCTTCCTTGCTGGATAATCTGTTTGAATTCTGGCGGGAATGTCTCGGCAGCAACTGTATCTGAACTAGCATCTTCACCAGCCATCTTGATGTTGTGGAAGTTATAACGACGCTTAAATCGTTGAAACCAGCCTCGGCTGGCCGTAAAGGTCTCTTCCTTTGATCCTTCACCCTCTTCTGCCTTTAAGTCATCAAACAAGGATCTGGCCTTATGCTGGATAACCATAAGGCTCACAGGGGTATTGCATTGATTCTGGTCCTCCATCCACATTGCCAGCATCTTTTTCATCTTCTCTATCACAGTGCTTCTAGTACAAGTCATCTTAGTAGCACTGAGAGTAGTACCACTTCCAGCACTAACCTTAATCTTGTCAGCGTTGGTCCAGATAGTACGCACCGTTGTGGGGGTTAGACCAAGCACAGCGGCTATGTCCACAGCACGTTCCCCCCTTTTTCAAATCGGATTAATACATCCATTTTCGTAGCAAGGGTAATGGTCTTATGTCGTCTCTTCACTACACTTGCATCAGTTGCACTTAAACACACACAAATGATGTGAAGTCATAACAGAGACTGGTTTGGCGTCGCTTGGGGACGCTGTGACATTCCGCGAGTGAGGGCAGCACACCAAGCTGAGTGTAGCTCAGTGAAGACGCAAAACGACGTAGTATCGGATCACCGGGACGTTAAACAAATTTTTGGTCTCTAAAGTTCAGCGAAGTAGTACTGAAACAACGTTAAGAGGAACGACGTTAAGCGAGGACTTTCTGTAATCACAAAACCTATCACAAGCAACACAAGTAAAATCTATAACTCCACAGCAAGTCAAAAGGGCAGATTAAACAAAAATTATAAACATCTGTACAACCTTGATGAACTGTAAGGGCTTCCATGCTAATCGTGAAAAGTATCATTCCAGTGGTGTGTAAACACTTAATATTTTACTAGCCAGTGTCTTAGAATCAGAACTAAAAATATATGGTGAAAGGTGAATTATAGGTATCCCCTGATTTACGCTTGTCCTATTTACGATGTTCAGCTTTAACGACGGTGATGTATTATGACCACCACCCCATATTTACGATGTAAAGAATCTGCACGAACGACAATTATCATCCAGCAAACGCGGAATATGGAACACATCTCTCGGTGCATTTGTCCGCTGCGGTCTATTCGCACGCCGTCACGTGGCCACCAGGTGATCATGTAGCTCAGCAATTATTGGTAAGTATTGGTGTGGTTACTTTTCATTGTTTTTTTTTTGTTTTTGTTTTTTTACGTTACAGTGAGAGGACATCACTAACGTTCACATTGTACTTTGTTTTGGTGACTGTGAAGTGATTTTTGCTTTGTGTTTTGTGACTGTAAAATGCTTTGTTTCTGTTATTGTGAACATGATGTGAGCAGTGTCGGCCACAATAACATTATCATCATTCACTCTGTTTTGGTGACTGTAAAGTGAGCAGTGCAACTTTGAACATTTCTGGGAAGGCCGAGGCACCCTGGAAAACTGTGCTTATGGAGGTGACGCTTGACATTATAAATCGGCATGAGGCTCCCCAGAGGCAATGTGGGAGTCAGAGATATCTCCACTCCACCTTCACGAGACCCCTTAGCCTTGATAGGGACATGTAATGACAACTAGGTTTGTTCTTCATGAGGGGGTGAGTGTTGTTCAATGGTGCTGTAGGTATAGTAGTATTGCACGAATTCTATTTTCGGTGATACGTGTGGGCGTTGGACTGGCTGGGGACGTATCCCATTGAACCCCATATCATGATGATCCCAATTTACAATATTTCAACCTGCGATAAGTTTTTCAGGAACATAACCCCATCATAAATAGGGGGATGCCTGTAAATAGGTCAGTATTGGAATCAGATCAATGTCCACTGCATCTCTTATTAAGATTTGGAAAATAAGTTACAATCAGTCTCACTAAATTTATATTAAAGCTGTGAATATTGTATCAGGGAGCCGCTCATTTTAACTAATCATATTATCAGTGATTTTTTATTTATTTATTTTTTCATTACCTGAGGTTCAGATTCTTTGTCCATGCATTTCTCAGCTCCCATCGAGTCAACTGGAGCATCTCGAGCAGCTCTCATCTGGCGGATGTTGTCCAGGACCAGTTGCCAGTGTGGCGGCTCCCAGCCAGGCTGTCCTGGCCTCACAGGCTTCACTTTATCTTCCTGATAACATTCCATAAAAAAATATCTTAACATAATGCCCATAAGTGAAGAAAAAAATTAATGTATTACTATTTATATAATGTTACTGTCAAACATGTTGTTCAGTTACTCTGATAATTTTTACATTAAAGTAGCATCCACTATATGTCCATTAACTTGAATGATATAAATGTTAAAATTAGTTGTTGTTTTCTATATTTGTCTACTATACTAACTCAGAATACAAAGACTTGATGCTTCATTAAAAAAAAAAAAAATGTAATAGCTACTTCATTAACATTAATTTTAATACATACAATAAAAATACGAGAATACAGTGAACCCTCGAAGATTCGGACTAAAAGGGGGGGACCACCTGTCCGGAAAAGCCGATTGTCAAGCAGCGCTCACGGGCCTAAAATGTTCTTTGCTCTGGTTTGGGAATGTTTCTTAGGGAAACTTCTAGGAGGTTTCTTAGCCCAGAACCCCCATATTTTTTGTCCGGATCTTCCAAAATCCGGATTTCCCGGGACCAGATCTTCAAGGGTTTACTGCATTAGTACTCCCACCTTTAACAGTAAACCTGGTCTTCCTGAGCAATGTGGCATCACTGTAAAAGATTCTCAGCTGAGCCAAGGGTATCAATAATCCCTGGAATAATACTTATAACAACAGGTTTTTTGTTTTTCAAAAGCACCAGTTCTTTTAAAGAATTCACAGTGCTCAAAATACTACAAAGTCAAGGACCTAAGGAAAAAACTACAAAAAAAATCACAAAAAGTACCAATTTGTATATCCTTAAATTGTAACACTTCTTAAGCCCTGTAGGCTGTGATTCTCCATTACCATATCCTCTTTAGGATCATAAGCTTTCAAAAAAGAAAGGTCTTAAAATGTTTCTTCAAGGCCTCCACAGATGTCAGCTGCTTCATGGATACAGGCAACTGATTGTACAATCTGAGTGCTGTACAGTATAGCAAAAGGATCAGGCTGATTAGAAAAAGAGACACCCATTTTAGATTTTCTATGTATTATTTTCGCATTTTCGACATACGATCTGGATTTGGGTCCCCAACCCCGTCGTAAGTCGGGGACTGCCTGTATTAAAATTGTTGATGTTGATATGACTGCGACTTTATAGAAATGTAATAACTAACAAGCACCTCACTAAGCATCCCACGTGACTCCACTGCCAGGCGAATACGAGCGGCAAATTTAAACTGTCTTGAGCGCGTTATTTCAAAACTAGGTGCGCGTAAATTACCTTTTGGTATTAATTGAACAATCGCATTATTTAAAAAACGCTTAAATCAAAAGCGCGTAAAATGAGAGTTACCTGTACTGTACACCACCTGACACTTGTGACATATTGTACAGTACAGTATATGAAATATGTATTTTGTTATAATTGAATGTGACTTTGCTGTTGTCTAATACTATCAGTTTTGAAACAATATTGTGAGGTGGAGGGACCTTCAACTCACAGCCCCCTCCTAACTGTCTGTTCATCCGCCCTCTAACCACCAACCCTCACCACACTCCTGTCAACTAACTGCATATTTTAAACTAAGTTAAATTAGATTGTCTCCTCTCATTTTGGTAAGGTGTTTATGATTAGAACAAAGAATCATATGAGTCTTCACCGATTCACTCACTGATACCCCTCGCTCAGCTGGGAATCATTTACAGCATTTCCACATTTCTCAGGGAGACCAAGCTCACTGTCAAAGGCAGGAGTGGAGGCAACTGTACACATATTTGAAACTTTCTCTTACTACATTGGTTGTCTTATTTCCTTTAGGGTTGTTGCAGACTCCATCACCAGTCTGGTCTCCTACACACTTGTGGTTCTCTACCTCGGAGTGTGATCCACTGAGGTCAACATTTTTGTGTTGTGATGATGGCTGCTTTACCCCATGTTGTTCTTCATACTTGATGTGGACTCTTTTTCTCTTAAGAAGCCTCTTTGTTAGTGTGGTGGTGTGTGAGGATAATGGCTCCTGGAAATAATCAAAATAACTTAAGATACATTATTACATCAGTGCTCAGTTCTCTGCAACCAACAAAACTTTATTCTAGAAAGTTTAGAAATACTTTAAATAGTATACCATTACTACTGTAGGAGGTCTCCGGTCAGACTTATGAACACCCGCCAATATGAACGAGGTTAACATTAAATTTACAGTATTTTATTTACCTGATGACTTAGTTTTTACTTTCATTTACTGTATTTTTGTCATTCTATTTCTTCTTTTCTCTTAAATTAAGTGATTTTAGATATATATAAGGACTTGGGCTATGATATAGTGGGATTTTAAACATTCTTCTGTAAGTACGGTATGCAGGTAGGGCAGGGGTGGCCAACCCATCGATAGCGATCAACTGGTCGATCCCAAGCCCTTCTCTAGTCGATTGCATGGCATGGTTAAACATAATGATCCATTCTTCATAAGCTGCCATACAAAAATCATATGATCATTTTACTCATACTGATCATTGGGATATTATTTTTGTTTAGATTATTTTCTGAGAATAGATTACCATAATGGACACATCAGAACGATACATACAGAAAAACTTTGACTGTGCCATGCTGTATGTGGCGGAACCTGATAGGAAGTGTTCACGTTCATACGGGCGGGTGCTGACTGGTTCCTGGTGAAGAAACTGATCAGCAAGTTGTCATCAGTTGTAGGCTAAAACTAGGCAGGTATTTGCTTTTATAAATTCACAAATACACGTTAAATCTCGTATTAATGAATTTTTATAATGAAAAAGTCGACTCAATATTGAGGAGTCTTGTCAAAAGTAAAGAGAGGGAATCATATTTGACAACCCTATCCCTACACAAGTTACGAATGTGTATCATGGTTCATTGATCAAGTTCTACTAACAGAAACTCATAAAATTCCTTCATACCAACTGAACCCTCGGTATTCACTCATTCACACTTCGTATTTCAGTAAACCAAAAGAGACATAAAACATATCTCAAACTCATTCCTGAACCTCTACTCAGATACGTGTTTGAAGTGTGCAAGGTGGGCCGAGTTAGTAATGTGTGGGCCGAGTTGGTTATTTAAGATGGACTGAGTTGGAGGTACACCCAGAGAGCGGAGTCCCCCAGTCAGGAAGTTAGGTAAGGTTAAATAGGTTTCTTTGGTTGGACATGTCAGGTTCTAGTAAATGTCGCCTCTTTTAAAATACTAGTTATACAATGTGACTTTTTTTCTGTGATGGCTTTCTTGTGATATCCTTGGATAAATGAACATTAACCATACTATATTTATCAGGTATTATTTTACATGTTGCCATTAAACTAATCTCGAGAATTTTATAGTTGCAATCAGTAATTTTGACAATTCTTAGATACTTATCTTCAATGGCATTTCTGATGCAAATTACGTATAATCGAGATATTTAACATTTTATTATATATGTTCGCACGTGGTGGTAAACACCCAGAACATCGAACGACTGTGGAGCTCCCACGGTTATGTTAAATTCAAAACTGTTTACATATATTTAATATACCTGGGGGTCCAGAGGGTTGAGTCTCACGGCTAGGAAGTTAGGTAAGGTTAGGTTAGGTTGGTGAGGTCTTCTAACAACGCTTCTGCCGCTTATTTTTCTTATCAACTAAGGTTAGGTTAGTTTTAATTTAGATCTTCCTGTAGTTTTGCAAAGTCCTCGTCAGATTTAATTACACGTCCTATTTTAGCGTCATCAGCAAATTTACTTATGTTGCTCTTGCCACATCATGCCTAGTCACCATATTATCTACCAAATGAAGCAATTTCCATAAAATTTTTAATTATATCAGAATTCAATGATAAAAATATTGTAAGAATATAAACATCAAAATGAAGGTCAAATTCGTTTCTTACACATCAAAAACCATAGGAAAAACAGTTCAACTTAAATTTCATATTGTGGCAACAAGTGAAAATTTACCCTCTTATCATTCCTTTTTGTATATCTTAAACCAATGTAAAACTGTATAACTATTAAGTGATTTTTTTTTGTTCTAAATCCACCAACCTCCACAACACCGTCATTTGTTGTTCCTCTCTCTCGGTGCCCTTGTTGAATATGTGAACTTACACCTTGAACTTTTGAACGAGTCCTTCTAGGTGATATACTTGTGAAATATTTACTAGTTTGACTCATATTACACAGAACTCTGAGGGTCCTCCTGGTCCTCCCCGCACCAGCTCGCAACATCCAGTACTTTAAGTATTTCCTAACACGATATAACGCCTGTCTCTGATAAAGCCATGAGCAATTATATCATCAAATTCTTAATAATATAAGTTGTTCATTAATTTTATGATTTATAGGAGATATTCTTTAAAAGGATTAAAGCGAAAGCCAAGGTCTCGAACACAGGCAACTAGCGGTTTCGTTTCCATGGCAATGTTCAATGCTTACCAAAGACTATAATAAGAAGGCCAGGAAAGCAAGGCGAAAATCGCATAAGCCACATAGCATATAATTAGCCGCGAGATCAACAGATGGCGGTAGTATACTTATAGTTGGCCGCGGGGTCAACAGATGGCAATAGTATACATATAGTTGGCCGCGGGGTCAACAGATGGCGGTAGTGTGCAAGTTGCGGGTCGTCTGCCAAGGGTCCGCAACCTTCCTTTTTCCGGCCGTATGTGGCCGGGAATTATTCACTTTTACTTTTATCCTCTTCACCACTGATCGGCCCGTTAGCCGTTTGGGCGATTGGTCACGTCTCTGTTACGCACTGTTGGCAAGTACTGGGCATGCACCGGCTCCTTGAATGCACCTGAACCTGCTCCAATATTAGTCTATAATATAATTTATTTTGTTCCACTCCCAGTTTATCAAAATATCCACTTTCATTTCGATTACTTATTTTCTATCGTAATGGCATCTCAAAATTTAATTTTGTATGAATACCACAATGAACATCTGAAATTAAGGAATCTAAGACTCAAATTTTAAAGTGTATTACTTTAAGTAAATTGGTGAGCCAACAGGTTCTGTGCACGGTGGTTTCTTTTCCTATCAATTCCTCTCCAATTCCACAATTTCCTACCATATCCACAATTATCACCAGTTTTGAGAATATATTTCCAGTGATATTACAAGTTCCACTAAAAAAATTGCAAAGTCTAAAGATTTGATATAATTATCACTTTCTTTCATTAAACAGCACAGGTAGTTTTTACACCTGTGTGAGAATTATAATCACCACATATGATGGTAATCACTAATATAATTCAATAAATCTTATAAATCAAAGTATTCAATTTTTGCATACCTAGCTACTGGGTAGGATAGAGCTTACAATAATATTCTATTGTAAAACCACACAATTTCTGTCGACCATTATACAGTATAAGGCCTCCGTAGTAGTTTAAGTGTTTTCCACTCCAAATATCTATTTAAAACTACCATTTCTATGTGGGAAACCTCACTTTTTGTTCCGCCAATCACCGTGAGTCTCGCTACTCAAGATTGCCAATAAATAGTAGGATTAACCTCCGTGCATTCATCAGTTACACCACACTAGTGTATTTTGTAGGCTTGTGTATTCCCAAGTGACCCTGCAAGACTAGTCAGATCCGTTAGCTCCATTCTATATCATATGATTGGAAGCTGATCAACCTCAAGCTTTTACAGTATTGTCACCTCACATACTATATACTGTAGTGTCTATTTTCTTACTGTACCATCCTTTAAAATGCAATCAAACCTTTTCTTTTCTCCCATGTTAATTTTCCTAAAAACTTTACCCAAAATTTTATGTTCATATCCTCCATTCTCACCTAAAATTTTGATCCCGGTAAATATTGTACCAAGTCTTGCCAACATATTTTAAATGCATCCCATTGTCACTCAGTTCCTTAAACATTACTAAAATTAAGGTTTCAATAATATTGTGTACAGTAGCCTGAAAGCATACCAACCCAAATGTAGTAGGCAGCTACTACTACCTGGGAAGAAATTGGAAACACGAGTTGTCTAATGGTAGATCCTGCTGCCACATGGCATCACAAAAATTGTGAAGCCAAGTCCCAGGTTGCTGCTCTGACTTTGCCTCATTTACACAATATTGCAGGGTCTCAAGTTTCTTACTATTAACGAACACAGTATTTTTTGACCCTTGATTTTTATTTTCTATTTATTTTTTTATAATTGTTATTCGGTTTTATCATTATATATTCGCTCCCCCTGGTCCTGATGTGGGTAGGCGACCTGTGCCCGGTTGGACTAATCCTTGACTAACACTTAACTGTGTATAACCCCAGGATGATGGATTAAAAAAAAGGGGAAAGAAATAACTTATCCTTCTCAGTACTTTATTTTAACGCTTCTGAGACAGTTCCCTGGCCCTAGCACGTTCCAGCTTGGCAATCCTGGATGCAGATTTGGCGCCAAGAATTCCACCACCCCAGTTCTTGCGGATCTCATCATAGCGGTCATTGTAATTAGTTTTAGCCGATTCGATGATTTTGCTGAGATTAGAGCGATCGTTAGACTCCACCTGCAAATGAGTAAACACGGTTAAGACTACACAGGAAAGGGGAGGGGGGATCCATATACTTAAAAATTTGATAAGCTTGCTTTGAACATCTCAATAACCAGGTGAAAATATTAACCCCAAGATATCATAGTTAGGACATGAAGAAACATTGGCACTTCACTATCAACGAGATCTTTTTTTTTATCCATTTGCAAAACATGTCCACAACTTTAATAAAGTTTATTAATATCTGTAGTAACAAATAAACTCAGTACCCAACACTTGCTTGCATCTCAAATTTCCACTGTCATTCCCCATTTACTTGTCCCCACAAACTTACTATATAATCCCTCTCGTGTAAGAGAAAACATGCATGATTAAGCAGTACTGTATCTTAAAAATTTCAATAGGCTATTTTCTAATTGAATGTACACATGATTAAGCAACATCTCCAAATTTTCATCATGCTGTTTTCAAATTTAGGTGCTCTTCCTAGAGCAGCAGGTGACTAGTTTTGGTGTAAATCAGTGTATTTGCATAGCTTTAGAGCATGCAACGAGTTATTTGGATATGAATACTCGGTTTATGAAACAAGTTTTCAACTTCACTTAGATACAGCATAATTTAGATAAGTAATAGCTGACAATATATTAGTCTTCAGAGACCCACTGTACTGTACCTGTCAATCCCCAATAAAACAAGACAATTTAATTTTATACATTCACTTCGTTACAACAGCTTACAATACTTACATCGGTAATGGCAATGCATGCGGTCTTTTTCCGCCTTACAACCACACCCAGTCTGGACTTGTTCCTCACAATGCAGTAGGGCACTCCCATCTTGCGGCACAAAGCAGGCAGGAACAACACAATCTAGGAGACAAATTCCTTCAGCATCCATATCTATTTTGATTTAAAGACTAATTTAAGCTCTGGTCAGTGTTAAAAAGCTCATTTTAAAAACATCAGCTTGTTCAGGTGAAGAAATTCAAACATCATTTTAAGACCATTTTCTTAAACCCTATTTGCAGAGCACAGCACTACATACCTCTACGGGATCAACATCATTAGCAATGCAGACAAGACGAGCCCTCTTCTGCTCAACTAGTGTAGTCACGGTGTTGACACCCTGGCGCACACAAATCTTCCGCTTTGTGGGGACATCTTCCTTGCCAGCGGCACGAGCAGCAGCACGCTTACGCAGCCTTTCCTTCCTGGCAGCCTTACTCTCAGGACGATACTTGTCCATAAGGCGGAACAACTCTGTAGCTAAAGGGTCACAAGATATTATTAATAATAAAGACAATTACAGATTGATAAGTTTTGTGAAAACCTAATCTCTTACCATGTAACAAATCCCACCATAGAAGATAAAACAGTGGTATTTTGGAGTTATGATTTATGTGGAATCACTCAATTTATTCGGTCTCTTACTTTACTGTATAGTAGTTACATCAACATTGGCGTTAGATAGCCAATACAAGACATCACAGTTGTAGGGAACGGTAAGGTGATACTGTACAAGTCTACCTTCACAATACCCTGCACCATCTCTTTCAGAGATCTAAGGGTTTGAATATTTGCACTCAGCACTACCTCCACTTGTCTGGAGGTCTATGAGCGACTTACAATAAATATTTGTCTTCCAATCCTGCATCGCTCTTAACGAGCCTAAGGATTATTGCAGTATGGTCGAATACCTTTCTGGCGATCAAGGGACTGCTTGAACTGGTGGATAGGAGGAGGAATCTTCAGACGTTGCTGGAGAACTGCTCTTTGTCGCTGAAGACGGATATACTTGGGCCATCTCAAGAAACGACTCAGATCACGCTTGGGTTGGATGTCACCACCTGAAATATATTCAGTATTAGCATAAGAAATCAAGCCCCTGATGCAGACTTTGTCACCCTTTATGTGAGCAAGTACAAGTAATGAAGCTGAACCATTGTACAAAAGGACAATCTCAATTTTAAAAGTTATGTTGTAAATGCATAGATCCTAAATGGTGGTATATTTTTTTTTCATTCAGCAAAGGAAGATCCATTACACAAGTGATTAAGTGCAATTTTATCATAGGTAGCAGCATCATAATACAAAAAGCAGTAGTGTACTTTTATATTCCATTCAACAAGTTAAATACCCAATGGCTACACAGCAACTGCCCATGGTGTCATATTACAGCCATGCGGTCTGTGGGTTAGGCAGCTGCAATATTACAGCCATGCAGTCACTTCATACCAAACCAGCACAATTTGCTTTGTGTACTCAAGAACATTAAGATTAAGGCAGATTTTTTCATCCAGTATTCTCAAGACTAAGCTTTTACAAAACATGTGTATAAATAGTTAAAGAACATTGAGAATGAGGGAAATCAATCAATTTAAATATACAAATGTAATTCGTACTGGCACAACCAAAATCCCATTCTAACCTTTTAGTTATGCCAGTATACATAACGTGTATATTTGTTTGATTGATGTAACGTATCCTGGAATTACAGTTTCAGGATGTATAACAGCCAAGCAAATTGATATTCACGGCAAACAAATGCCGGAATTCAAGATTTCTTTTAATATAAAGAATGGCTATTTTAATATACTGTACATATGAAATGCATAAATTAATTTGGAGTATCAATAGTGAGCCTATGTGAAAATGGGAATACACTTCAACCCCCCTCAAGATATAAAACATGATGACATTGACAGCTACAAATGAACATACTTTTTATATTCACCTAAGAGCACACATCCAGCTTGCCCGAGATCACAATGAATCGGTTTTTTGTCTGAAAATGTGGCAATTTCAAGGCTGTTATACACCCTAAGTGCCAACGTTTTATGAGCCTGTCTGACAACACCTACCGATGCCAAAATTCCTGGGCCTCTTCTCAAACAGAGGATTTACCACCTTCTTAGGCACAACCACCTTCTTGGCCACCAGGGGAGCTGCTGCGATCTTCTTTCCCTTCCCCTTTCCTTTTCCCTTTCCCTGAAATGTCAACATCAAACATTAAAAGAAAACTATTTTCAACAATTATACATTAAATAATAGGCAGGGGTTAATTTGGTAAAGATTCATTTTAGGTCGAGCATGGAATTTCATACCATTTCTTTTTATATTGGGGGAGAAAAAACTTATTACATTTCTGGCACAAATTATTTTTTTTAGCATTTTAACCCATAAGATCTCCCCAATTACCAAAAATATTGGTTGCTTAAAGTGGACAGGGCCTTGAAGTAGAGGGGAAATGTGGGGTAAAATACCAAAAATAACACCAAACAAACCCTTGGAAACCTTACCTAACCTTTAAAAATTCTCATTCATGTTTTCAGTGTTTAATGTGTCTGTGTAGTTTTTGGTGTTCAGGTGAGAAAGAGAGGGGGGCGGGGGTCCATGAGCTCTCAAAAGATGTTAACATCTTCATAGGTTAGGTAAGATCTTCAAAGGTTTGCACAAGAAATAAAGGTCAGACTTGAGTAAAACACAAAGAAACCTATTCTCATATCAAACCCTGACCCTGGACCCTAATACTGGTGTACATACCCAGAACATAGAAAGCAGTTCTGGACAACACGTACTCAAGCAAATCGAAACCATCGGAACATGTCAAGTCATGCCCAATTACAAGATAACTCGTATCCAATCTATGCCAGTTCAACCCAAATACATATATATATACAGTATCCCATATATTGCAGAGTACAAGTCGACCCTATTACTTTTAGGTTAAAAGTTTGAATTAGACCTGGTCTTGTTTCTGTGTGGTTTTGACATTTTAAACAAATCTGTCCAGAGTATCAGTAACATAACTAATTGTATATGCATTGGCCAATACTCTCATTCTTTTATATCCTTATTACTACTGTATTTCATTCTTTACGTTGACGCCATAGAACAAGTTCATTAGACCGGAAGAAGTACCAGAGGAGGAGCCACTTCTAATTTCCTAAAAAAATTTCAAGTGTCTTCTTCCAAGCTTACATGAGTAATAGGTTTTATTTTATTTTAGTCTTTCACATATTGTTCAAGTGAGATGATTGCACAAGTAATAACGTTTTTATGTTGTCTTTAATAAATTGTCTTGGTGACATGCTTGCATGATCCAAAGTTTTGTCGAGGCATAATTTTGTAATACAATTTTGTAAACTAGGTGTTTTAATTATTTTCTATCCCAAGCAACAGTTATTTTGGCAAATTTAGTTAAATTTTCATGTATATATTGATGTATTAATTATGTAAGAATTTTCTGGAATGTATTGCCCTTGAAATGGTGATGGGAAAGAACGTGGTGACGAAACGGGTAAAAACAGTGAAGAAATGAGCACACCGTCTAGAATCCAACAAGTCTGTATTTATGACCATTTTAAACGTTACATCGCCCAGTTTATAAATTAAAACTGCCAAACCTATTAGCCTGAAATCTGTAAATTGCAATAAAGTTATTCTAAACAACACTGTGAAATATGTACTTGCAATGTTTGTGTGACGGAATAACATGTATAATGAGATGCAACCATTTTAAAGCGCTGCAATACATTTCACTGAACTTCCCCACAAGATTTAATTTTTTTTAAATCAAAGCTAAAATGCATGGTACATATACACTAATAGGTATGGCTTATCTCTTAATTTGGGTGCACGTAATCTTGGGTACTAATTAACTTTTTTGGGGGGGCACAATTTACCTTGGGTTAGGTAAAATTTGCTTTGGTTACATTGTATTAGCGGTTAATATATAGGACTAACCCACCGGGCTGCATAAGAGTCAATGCGGCAGTATCATTTCACGCCCAGAAATGCCTCAAAATTCACCTTATCATAGTAAGTCCTTTCTGTTTAATATACCAGGGAAGTTAAGTAAGGTTAGGTCTGTTCTTCATAACCACTAACTATAATATAACAATGAAAATCCGGCGTTTTTATAATAGTTTTCAATCAATTTCGCCCACGGGTTAGTCCTACATAATTACCGTATTAGTTAACAAACACGTAGTACCGGGAATTCAGAACATATTCCTGTTTTGCTTGTTTGGGTTAGGTTAGGTTTGGTTAGGTTTCTTGCCTTTGATACGAGAAATTGTTTTTCTAGTGTATTATAGTATTTGAGAAATAACGTTCTATTTACTTTTAATTTATAGTTAAACAAACTGTGTACTGAGCTTACCTTCTTCTGAACCATGATGAATGTTTATACTCGCTCCCGAAAGGACACGAGGATTTAATTCAGTAGTAGTACACAACCAATGTCTCCCCCAGCGCGGAGGACACGAGAAAGACCTATGATGGCCGCTCAGGCAGAGTCGTCGTACCTCAAGATCCACAAAACAAAATTTACGTGTATATTATTTTAATTATAAACTAGTTTATTTAAATTTTCTGTTTAAATAATTATTTTATTCAAATAATTTATATGGTAAAGTTAATATATTATACATGTACATAGGTAGTACAATATAAATCTACAGTTGATACACACACACACACACACATACACATATATATATATACATATATATATATATATATATATATATATATATATATATATAGAGAGAGAGAGAGAGAGAGAGAGAGAGAGAGAGAGAGAGAGAGAGAGAGAGAGAGATTTATAAACGACAACAATATATTAAAATTGTCAAAGATAATTTTAATTTATTATATGATAAAAGAAAAACTGCAAATAAATCGGGAGATGATTAAAATAATAAACCCGAAATAGTGTAAGTGTGGATCTTAATCTGCTGTTGTTGCGTGTGTCGCCTTCTCGTGGTGCCCTTGGTAGCATCCTCCTGCCTCTTCAGCCCGAGGAACTCATACAGGTCGGATGCATACGTTTGAAGGCTGTCCAATATTGCATTCAAGCGTGTCCTCCAGGGCAAGAGGAAAAATCAAGATCATGGAACATGAGGTCAGTTATGTACACTGTTTATTTGTTATTATTGCGTGTAAATATAAAGAACGATTAATTATCCGTTCATTGCTGTTGGCGAAGATGAATCGTGTGAATTTAAAGCATTCATAGTTTCGAAGTGGTTCCCGCCCCCATCTGTTAGGAGGTTAGAGGTCATTTGCGAGGGAAATTTCAGTCTTAAAATATCATACTATTGGAGGAACTTTGCCAATTCCTTATTCAGCCATTTTGGTTGAAAATGCAAATTTACCTTGTTTTAAGAGGCGGTGACTTTATTTTACTATTTACATTAGGAGAAAGCAAAGAAAACTATTCCATTGTTTTCAGCACATTTTTACATTTTCATAATATTTTAACCCATAAGGCCACACTTGCTTTTACTTGTCACTATATAGGGGGTCTGCCCGAATGTAGAAAAATATGGCACTGGGGAAAAAAAGGCATACTCTTAAGACTAGGGAGAATAGCATATTAATTTTTATCGGCTTGTTTTCGCGATAACTTTTTTAACGTTTGTTACCGAAACACTTAAAGAGGCCCGCTGCAGTTTCCTCCATTATGTTCTTATATCAACGTCATAACATAAAACATTACCTTTAACAAAAAAATTCCACCGTATGTTAGTGAAAGCTCGTACATAAATGAATTGCAAAATTAATGTCCCTACCACTATCATCCATGAATCTATCCAGCAACATCCTGGCAGATAAGTTTTATATACTGTACACCCAAACAGCCCTTCCATTTAGGATCTGTACTTTGTAGTGTTTATCCTTTAAAAGGGCTAGATTAAGAGGATTTTCCCACGGGTCTCTTCTAAATATTGGATTGGACCTGATAGATTATCAAACAATTTCCTTGTTAAAGATAAGTGCTACAATGTTTAATTCTTGTAATAAAGTATTGTAATGATTGAATTTCAGGTCTGGACATCCAAGCCAAGTGCCGTAATGAATTCTGAGATGGCCAAAGTGTACAGCATCGACGGCAGTTCTCCAGTAGCACCTGCTCGTCCCATTTGCCAATTCAAGCTTTCCATTGTTTGTCAGAAAGGTAATAGGCTAAACTTCATTAAATTGGATTAGTGTGTGGACAAATTTGGTTGGTGCTGGACTTGCATTACCAAACCTGTCTCTAGTACTGATCAACTGTGATGACTTGTATTTGCTATCCGAGGCTAATGTTGACAAACCTTACCATTTAATAACTGAGTATGTATTCCGTGCAATTTTTGTTTTAAGTTGTTGTTGTGTTAATTAGTAATTTCTTGTAATCCATCTGTTACAGAGGTGTTTTGATAGGTTGACATAAGTTGCCTGAAATCATGCTTCTGCTGACAAGAAATATCTCATTATTGGCTTCGGTGCGGAATCAGAATGACACAAGTGTAACAGAAGTCCAGTTTGTCTGCAATATTGACACTGAGGAGGTACAGTATTGCATGTTATGTGTTTGAAGTGATTCAGTGCTCATATGATGCTTGAATTTCTTCGCCTGAACGATTTGATGTTGTTAGCTTTTAACTGATAAATGTACATTATAGCATTGCTTTAACAATCAAAAGATTTCAAGATGTTGAAGTATAAACTCTGTTGTAGGTTGTCCCTGTCCACTTGTGCATTTTGGGGAGAACGTCCAGGCTGGATGTGGTTGTGGCAAAGGACTGCTTACTGGACTATTACTGGTGTAAGTATGTTGTGATATAACTACAGATGTAAAAAGTTTTGCATGATAATTGTCGAGTATTGGGAGGTTTTCATATTGATCAGATATTAATAATTATGAAATGTGGCTCGTGTTGATTGGTAAAGGTTTTTGAAAGTGCAACCACCAGAAATTTTTGGTATTGATTTTTGCTATACTTACGGTTTTGATTTGTTTAAGTACATTACTAGGTGAAAAGTTATGTCACTAAAATTGTATCAGGGTGCATTTCAAATGCCGAATCATTTTCTTTCCTTTAGTCAGTACGCTGTCACAATTCCCCTGCAGCCTCCATTGCCTCTTCCTCCAAAAACTATAAATTGTTCCAGAACTTCTGATCCTTTTAATAAAATAATTACTATATGCATCTTTACGAAGTTTAGAATTGCGTATTTACTTTTAAATGAATACTCCGTTCTCTTTATATCTAATTTTTTTACAGCACCTCTTGACAGTTGTTAGGTAGGGATTCCTTGGTTCATTTGTTTGTTTAAATATTTTGTATACATTTTAAACAAATGAACATAATGCATAGGACCTGCCCTAATAGGTCTGGTTCTACTGGGATTTAGTAGGTTTTATGCATTGTTTATATTTGTTTAATATAAGTGTGTAGAAGATATTTAAACCATAGTGTACGTTTCCTTCTGGTAGCACTTTCGTAAACCTTTACCTTAATTTGTTACGGAGGCGTAAACGATGCTTGTTCGTGATCTTGGTCTGTGTAAAGTGTAGTCAATTTATCCTCCTTATGTGCAGGATCGTTAACCTTGTTTTGGAATGATGAGTAAATATCTCCTGATTTACGTGATGGATGACTCGAGCTTTTTAACACTGACATAGATTAGAACACTGCCAAACTATCCCCCCTTCATTGTTCGCTGTTGACCATTCACTTGACTTTCAGGTTGGGGTTTTCCGGTGACACTTGAGATGAAGAGACCGGTATAGTGCAGTGCAAGGTAATGATTTTAATAGTTAATATATCAGGATTTTTTAGGAGTCCTTATCCAGTTGTGGGTGAATGGTCTGTAGTGACTGTGCATGGAACTCAAAGTTGGTTTGTATATGGGGAGATATGTCTAAATTTGTGAAAAATAATGGACTTACATATCCATATACATGCCTAACCTAACCGTTGAAACAAGAGGGACTTGACCTAACCTATCCAGGGGAGGGGGGCACAGCCACTCTTGGACCCCTGGTGTGTAAACCTAACCTGAAAAATTTGAAATTAAACTAAAAATGTATTAATAACGTCTTCATTTCTTTGAAAATAACACTAAAAATATCCGACAAATTGCTATAAAGTTGGTCTCACTGAATAACATGAAGTTCCATGCATGACCAGTATGGAATATTAACCATTGTGTACCTGGCTTAGTCAAGGAGTATTTAGATATATATATATATATATATATATATATATATATATATATATATATATATTATTTAGATATATATATATATATATATACCGTACGTGGGTGTAGAAGTGTTGTAAGTATAGGGGTGCCAGTGATCACTTGTGCTTTGTTAATGTTTAGGTTTCAAATGATGAGTCAATATCACCTGATTTACAGTATGTGATGTATTATGCGAGCTTTTTAACACTGATGTAAATACATTTGTTTGTATAAAGCTTTTTTTCATGGTTTTTTATTAACCAGTTAATATTTTTTCAAGGTGGAGTTGAATATTGTCCAAGTGGGTGGACAGGAAGTACTGCTGTATGAGAAGTAATGAGCTCAACGCTTCAATTAAAACGAATACTATACAGGTATAGTAACTGGTGATTGTAGACGTTAGTTTGTGGTGGTTAGTTACAACTGATTACGTTCACATTAGGTTTTTTCTGTGAAACATTCATTGTTACCTTTTATATGTTTCTGAGGAGTCGATATCGTCTGATTTATGTGATGTATGACGCGAGCTTTTTAACACCGATGTAGAATGTATAAGTAAAGCTATCTCCTCCATCGTTGTCTGTTAACCATTTACTTTTTTTTTCAGGTGGAGTGACAGGGTATTCACTGACACGAAGATGAAGAGAAGTGCAGTACATGGTAAGAGTTTATTTTAGTTATGGGTTGATCATTTGGGAACATTGCATTGTTTACTGTATATATAGCATTAATACAGTACCTAGTTAAGGTGTACTGTATGAAGAGTCCTGTATTTGTGCCTTGTTTTGTCTATTTTATATTTCGAATGAATTAATATCACCTGATTTGTGAGGGTTAAATGCGAGAATTTTAACTGACATGATTTTTTATATACAAAACTGACCCCTGTCCCCATTATCTATTAACCATAAGTTTGTTTGCAGGAGTTGACTAGTCAGTTCGGTCATGGAGTGAAAATCGGGACCACTACGGAGTTGTGTAAGAATTGGTGGTGGAATGCTGTACCAGATGTGTATCCTGGGTTTCCAAGCTGGACGACTCGCTGGGGTAGCTGATAAATGTTTGTTGTAAAATAAAGTGAAACCAAAGATGCTTCTTTATATTGCCTCTGGGTATTAATAATCTCGAATTCTGGAAAAGTTCATAGTGCAGGGTGGGTCATGTGTTGCAAGACGGGGGGGGGTGTTAAAATGGGAACTGCAGTGCCGGAATTTTAAGCTCCAAGTTCCAAGAAAATTGGACAGTTATAGTGATAAACTAACTGCAGTGGTTTCCAACAGATTCCCATTCAAAAGTTTTTACATCTCGCACAAACATTCATTACCAATTTATGAAAATCTAGGGAACTGGATCATCAAGCAGACCTTGTAATTTATCTTCGTTTACGGAAGTGGTCGAATTTTCAGAACTTCTATTCCTGAAAAACTTGTCTGGAAGCTGAAAACTTATCCTTCATATATGTACGACTCTACACCCTAGAGTATTGCTTGGAGGGGGTTGTAAATGGCAGTGAATAAATCCAAGTTAAAATAAATACTCCTGTTACTGTAGATAGTGAACAATTATATACATTGGAGGTAAACTGCAAAGATGACTGAGTGATATACTGTACAGTATAGTTAAATGTTATGGACATTCTCTTTGAAATAAACACTAGAATACAAATTCCAGTGCCATAATGAGCTACTGTACGTACAGGTTGGAGATAACTATTTTATCACATGCCAAACGATAAATCTCCAATCGAAGAAGTTTGGATCACTGCCATTAAAACTTTGTAGGTTGTTGGTACAAAGACTGGCGTTTTGTCCGAAGATTAAATATAACTCGTGAAACATGAGCTCCCAACCACAAGGCAGAGCACAACAAAAGTTTAGCACAAAGCCTGTTTTCACCACACTTAACTTCTCACATTTGTACATACGATTTATGTATACTGTACATCCGATAATTCGAATGGTCCCATAAAGTTACTTTGGATTAGAAGTTTTTTTTTTTTTTTTATTTACCTGATTAATATTTTATTTAAATTTAATCTTATTGCCATTGTAGTTCAGTTCTCAAATTTTGGAGGTATATAAGGACTTTGTCTATATGATATAGTGGGATTTATGATCTAACAAAACTGTCAGCCCTGCGGCATGTTACATGACCATGCTTCAGGAGAGTCTTGATTGCCCTCCCGGCACCACATCTCGCCTCGCTGTATTCCCACCTCACCCTTTCAAAACTCGGTACTGCTTGCATCGACTAGTAAAAAATTTCACTTGGTATACCGGAAAGATGTGCAACACGACACATCAGAATTGAAATAGAATCCTACTAAACACATTGTATTCAGGTGGGGGTGTAGTGGATACTCTCCACTACAACTGCTGAATGACCACCTGCCGTTCGCTTACCAGCCAATCACCTTACAGGTGCGGACGTAGGAGTACTACTGCTCACTGATTTCTGACCTTCCCAAGCAGCGACGAGTTCAGCACACCTGGCCTCTCGCGAACTGCACGGTGATTGGCCCCGCTAAACATACAAACACCTGACATGAATTTAACACCTATGACGAAAATTAGCTGAAACACAAACATGAGAAAACAAAAGCACTTGGGTCTACTACTATTTTCCAATTTCCTCGCTTTTCTTCTTGCACTATCCAACCCTAAAAGTACCTCCAAATTCCACCATCATTCTTCAAGTCCACTTCCCGCACCAGCATCAAGATCTCTTCATACTTTGCTTCACCCATCGACTCGGAGCTCATTCTACTCTACTCTCCTGAACCAGCAAGCTTCTCACCATACAGCAACTCCTCAGCACTGCACTGTATATACAGAAAACGCATTGTGAGTTTCTATTCTTACCTCCATCCTGAGTGTGAGATATCTAAAGCCCCGTCCACACGATCGAGCACTGCCCGACGGGCACTCGCTTAATGCCCGTTGTTCGGGCAAACCAACGGAGTGCCCGTGGTGGAGCGAAATCACCAGATAAGGCCGTCTGCTTGGTGGTTTGACCGTTTGCTGCCGGGTATGGATGGACGACCCTGCCAGACAAACGAAGTTAACCCTGGCTGCCAGTTTTTCAGTCTCACCACAAGTCACCACTGGAAAATGTCTGTTCCTCCGTCCGCCACAGACCAAGGAAACATTCATTGGTCTAAAGAAGAGACCATGGTGTTGATTGAACTCTATCGTCAGCACCCTTGTCTATGGAATGTCAAAGTGGACATGTACAGAGATAGGGACAAACGTGCAGCGGCACTGAGACAGATTACAGAGGACATGAATAGAAGCGGGACTACAGTTACCACAAGTGATGTGAAGAGAAAAATTGAATCACTTCGAAATCAGCAGAGACCGGAACTAAGAAAGATGCAAAAATAAAAAAAAGTCTGGAGCTGGAACTGAGGACATTTATATTCCCACATTATGGTGCTTTGATGCACTGCATTTCCTCATTGATGGTGACACAATTCGACAATCTGTGTCAAACATGGATACTCACACTACAGAAGATATGTCATGTACATTCTGATCACGAGGTACGTATGCAAGCGTTCTCTCTCTCTGTATTGTGCGTAATATGTATGTATATATTTTTGTGTCACTATTAACAAAGGGCTTGTGTATATTTTTATTTATTTATAGATATTCAACGATCCGCTACTGCTGGGACTTGATGATAATCCACCAGCCACTATCACTGGTTCAGCCACGCCCACCGTCTCTCGTATGGCTACGCCGACTCTCGTTCAGCTGCAGAATCGAATACTCATGAACCCTCACCCACACCGTCAACAAGTAAACGACTGACCAAAAGGGTTTCTGACGATGCTGATAATATCCTGAAAGAGGCCCTCCACCACCTGCAGTCATTATCTTCCTCCCAAAATATTATACATGATGCAGACAGTGATTTTGGTCAGGTTGTTGCTAACGATCTTCGACAGATGAGCGGTGAAAATAAAATACATGCTCAGAAACTTATTTATGAGATCCTTTATCTGGGGAAACTAGGTAGGCTTTCCTCCTTAACGACTATTATGTACGGGTCATTTATTGAATGAGGGTGTTGGATACACGTACTTATTATAACTATCGATGCGTCATTAGTGGCAAACAGTGATAACTGTTGTTAAAACATACTCTAGTATTTTATTTTTATTGACGAATATGTATGTTGGTTTGGTTTACATGTCTTTATTGTTTGGAGTGGGTCTTCAGATATTTAATTTAAGACTACATACGCTAGGGAGTATGTAATTATGTTAAATACAGTGTATAATAAGTTGTCTATAGCGTTTTGGAAGCAACCTTGTGTCCTAAACAGGTCCATCATGTGTATGGAGGGTTATCCCCTTTTATAAAAACAGTATTATTTTCATTAATAATCAATAAAACCGGAAGCCCTACTGAGCCTACTACATCACATAATAAGACGTGTGTTACCATGGGAACCTCTCGTGACCGTCAAAATTTAATAACTATGTATACTACAAATCTCACCTGCAAGTAATCCTGGAGTACTTCATATATGGCTTGACAAGTTGCAGGTATTATGGTAGACAAACTTTGTTTTGATATCCTCGTTGTATACTGAAGCGACGTGTAGGAGCACCCAGTTGAAAGAAATGAGCGTAGCCTCTAGACGAGCCTCTGGAGATATGCTCCGCCTCATAACGGTATCTTGTTTTTGTATGTATGGTTCCAATTTAGCGAGAAGTCTATAGAAGGTGTTGGGGTCCATTCCCATGTAGTTAGTGAAGTCTCTCTCATGTTCACCTTGCAGTTCACGTAAAATCGTGGCATGACTTCCCTTAACCTTTCGTTGAGATAACAATTCCTTGCACCATTCCCTTTTCTGTTTTTTCTTCTTTTTGCACACTGTAGCAATTATTATACACAGCGCTATAGTCTTCGATTTAACTGTCCTGCGACACCCCATAGTGATCGTACCGCAGCAGCTACTGCCGACCACCTACTAGCTACCAGCGGCAGTGTGTGACTGCTGCCAACCAGCACCTCCGTGTGTACGACGACACAGGCTTTGCCAGGTAAACGGGCAAAGTCCGCCGGGCACTGTTCGATCGTGTGGACGGGGCTTCTTTACATGTACGTACGTATGTGAGCCCATACCAAGAGAAATAGACAAGTAAAGAGAACTTGACAACTAGCCACATACAGTACGCTACAGGGGCCTCCAAAGTGATAGGGGTCCTTTCACCCTGAACCATGAACCCCGAGATTCAGACTCTTGAATCCGAAGCATTTATGGACAGAATAAATTAACTATCAGTGTCTACTGCTTCGGGTTCACGAGTCTGAATCTCGGGGTTCGTGGTTCAGGATGAGAGGCGACAGGACTTTTTTGGGTGACAGTACATTCCAATGAGTAGTAGTACCCTCCGAGATGTTTGTAAGACATGTCAGCACTTTTACTTTTATCCTCTTCACCTAATGATCGACTCCTTAGCCGCCCGGGCGATTGGTCACGTCTCTGTTACTTTTCCTTTCTTTTATCCTTCTCCTAATGACTGACCTGTTAGCCGCTTCTGGGCGATCGGTCGTCTCTGTTATCTTTATCCTCTTCACCTAATGATCGACTCCTTAGCCGCCCGGGCGATTGGTCACGTCTCTGTTGGCAAGTACTGGTCATGCACCGGCTCCTGAATGCACTTGCTTTATCTCCTTTTTTCTTTCCTATAATAGTTGTTCACAAGGAGTGGATTTAACCCTTTACTACCATAATGTACACTGACATTTATTTTACTGAGTCGATTTGCTTTTATATCCTATCTCCAACTTTTTTGGAGAATTTACTGTATATTACAACGACTGTTCTCACTCCATCTCAGTCTTTCTCTCTGGCCAGGTTTACTAACTACCCCTGAACGCCTGAGCCACAGACGTAAAAATAACTGAGTTACGTGTATATTAAAAATACTGAACCCCAAAGAATCTCTCATTAGTAGTGAAACTTTTCAATAATATAACTCCCTTTTTTTTTCGTTGTATTTGTTCTAAGGTGAGCAGAGAGATTCATTCCTCTCCGCGCCCCCGCTCTCCGCCGCGTAAAGGCGACATTTGGC